CGACCGACCTTCTCTCTTGACCTCCCGGACTCTGGGCTTACGGGCTTGCACCACCACCCGTTTACCGCTCAGTGTCTGGTTCACTGGCAGAAGCTGAGTGCCCCATCTCAGCGCCTTCCCTTCCCTTCCTCCCTGATGTTAACTGTTCTTCAGGGCGGCCCTAACTCTTATGTCACCACGTGTGTGCCATCAGTGCCGTCCTCCTATGCCCAGCTACCTCGGGACTTTCTCATTCGGACAGTCTTCGCCTGACTTAGAGTGAAATCTTCATTCCCTCTTCCCTAGTTCTCTCCATGGCCGTTGCCTCCCGCAGTTCCTGCTCCTCAGCTAATTTTGTGTTCACCCAGTAGACACTGTTTTTTCTGCACCACGTCTTTTTTTTTTTGCACTCCAGGGGGGTGGGGGTGGGGGTGGGGCAGGTCTCACTAGGTTGCCCTGGCGGGCCTGCAATTCATTCTGTAGACCAGGCTGGCCTGGAACTCACAGGAATCCACCTGCCTCTGCCTTCTGAGGAACACCCAGCAACCAATTATTTCTTGAATTTTCTTTTCTACCTTAAAACAAACAAACAAACAAAACCCCACTAAGACTACATTTCTTTTTTTTTTTAATGTTCCTTCTCTCTCTCTCTCTCTCTCTCTCTCTCTCTCTCTCTCTCTCTCTCTCTCTGTGTGTGTGTGTGTGTGTGTGTGTATGTGTAGATGTACCACAGTATGAATGTGGAGGTCAGAGGACTACCTTGATTCTGTGGTCCTACCCTGTGGTCCCAGGGATCAAACTTAGGTCATCAGGCTTGGAAGCAATCTCCTTCACCTGCTGGACCAGCTCATCAACCCTCGAGATGTCCTTTCCTTCGGCTTCTATTGCGCTTTGTTTTGCTTTTTATTTTTTGTTTTGTTTTGGGCACTGGGGATTGAACCCAGGGCCTCATGCATGCCAGGCAAGTGCCCTACTACTGAGCTACGTCCCCAGGCCTGTTTTATCATGTGACTGTCTGTAGCCGTTCTCCACTGGCTTTGCTGCTGTGGAAGTCGGACTTTGGCTTTCCCATCTCTGTTCAGGTTTCATCATCCCGGTGGTCTCACTTCTCACACCCACCCAGACAGCACTGGCACCTGACATTTGAGCCTCGGCTCAGTCTCGCTTCTGTTCTAGCTTTCTGGCCAGCTCCACCCATCTCTGTTGAAGCCACCTCAAGTCCAACAGGCCGGAGGAAATGCTCACTTCTCACAGGTCCTATTCTTCCTCTTACCCAGGCCTACTCAGCCGGTCCCTCGCTGCCTCCTTCCGCCATGCTTTCCTTTAAAGTTTAACATGCAGCCGCCGCCGCCGCCGCCGCCTCCTCCTCCTCCTCCTTTGGACAGAGTCTTCTGTAGCTCAGGCTGTGAATTTACTATGTAGCCATGACTGGCTTTGAACTCTGACCTTCCTGCTTCTACCTTCCGGGTGCTAGGATTACAGATGTGTTTAATTTCCAGCTGCAGTTCTTCCTTACCATTGTTAAACCCTTAATCTTGGTCGTCACCATCACCTACATTCTTTCATTTCTTCATTCAGAATATTTTAAATAGATTTCTTTAAATTTTCTATCCATGTGTGTTTGCCTTCTTGAGTTTATGTGCACTATATATGTGCAAGAGCCCTTAGAGGCCAGGAGGGTTGCATCCCCCTGAGGCTAGAGTTACAGGTAGCTGTGAGCACCTGCCCGACATGGGTGCTGGGAACCGATCTCATGTCCTCGGCGAGAGCAGTGAGTGCTCTGAACTGCTGCGTTTGCCCTCCAGCTGCCATTTCAGAATATTTTAACACCAGCTGTGTGCTCAGATCTGGAAATATAGATGTGAATAGCAGAGGGAGGAGGTACCCGGCTCTGAAGAACTTAACATTCTAATGCAAAAGTCAGATTAAAAACTAGAAAAATATTAGAAACAAATATTATATCCATATGATATATAAAGAGATATAATAGTGTGCGTGTGTGTTTGTGTGTGTGTGTGTGTGTGTGTGTGTGTGTGTGTGTGTGTGTAGGGGGGTTGCGTGCCTGTAATTCTACCTTAGGAGGTTGAAGCAGGGAGATTACAAGTTTGAGGTCGGCTGGAACAATACTGGAGTGTTTAAAAAAGAAAGAAAGAATAAAATAAAAGAGAGGGGCTCAGGAGATAGCTCAGACGATCGATTGCTACCCAAATGGGAGGATCTGAGTTGAACCCCCAGCGTTCATGTGAAAAAGCCTGGTATGGAAGCACTGGGGTGGTAGTGAGAAGAGAGCCACATGGCTTGTTAGCCAGCCAGCCTGACCTTCCTTATCACCAAGGAGCCCCCCCTCCCAGGATCCTAAGGCACTGGAGTTTGTCCTCTGGCCTATACATACACATGTATGTGCATGCATGTGTACTCACTGTAGTGTGCATGCGCACACACACAAAATAAGTTATTTTTAAAAGATTTTTTTTTAATTTATGGGCATCCTAGGGATGACCTGGGACAAGCACTCCACTACAGAGCTGTAACCCCAGTGCTACTAAAATACCTTGAACAGAAAGAGGAAAGAAAAGAATCTGATTTTTTATTTTAGTTTTCAGTTTTTTTCAAGGCCTGTGTGAGTTTATGTGCACCACATTCATGTAAGAGCCCGTGGAGGCCAGGAGAGAACATCAGATCCCCTGGAACTGGAGTTACAGGTGGTTGTGAACAGCCTGACTTGGGAACTGAGGAACCCCAACCTGTGTCCTCTGAAAGAGCAGTAAGCACTCTTAACCACTGGACCATCCCTCCAGCCCCAAGCTTTATTTATTTATTTATTTATTTATTTATTTATTTATTTATTTAAAGAAAAAGATCCACAACCTGGTGTGGTGGCAATTGCCTTTAATCCCAGGACTTGAAAGGCAGAGAGAGGCAAATGGATCTCTGTTGAGTTTAAAGCCAGTTTAATCTTAGTAAGTTCCAGGCAGCCAGGGCTACATAGTGAGACCCTGTCTCAAAAAACACAACAAAACAAAATAAATGCTAACAATGTGAAAACACGGCAAGAAGGAAAAGGGCAAGTGAACAGTATGTATATTTGTGCAGCAGGAACACAGGAGCTTCATGCAGACCCACAGGAAGGAGGACGCGTGGATGGCCAGTGTGTCAAAGCAGAGCCCATTTTAGTATTTTCATGGAACAGACAGTGAGGAGCCCAGTGTGGCTGGAGAAACCATGAAACCATGCAAGGCGTTAGGCTGTTATTCTGACTGAAAAGGGAAGCTATCAAGTTTAAATTTTTGTTTGTTTTGGTTTTTTAAATTTATATGATGTGCATGAGTGTTTTGCACATGTATGTATGTGTACCACACACATGGTGTAATGACTGTGGAGGCCAAACAAGGGCATGGGAGCTACAGCTGGAGTGAGATTGTCGGAAACCTTTTATGTGTGCTGTGAAGCAAGCCCAAGTCCTCTGAAAGAGCATCTGAGCCGTCTCTCCAGCCCCTGGGTTTGTCTAGGTGTGTGTGTGTGTGTGTGTGTGTGTGTGTGTGTGTGTGTGTGTTCCTAGGGATGACCTGGGACAAGCACCCCACTACAGAGCTGTAACCCCAGTGCTACTAAAATACCTTAAACAGAAGAAGGAAAGAAAAGAATCTGATTTTTTATTTATTTTATTCGGTTTTTTTCAAGACAGAGCCTCTAGGTAGTCCTCAATATCCTGGAACTCACTCTGTAGACCTGGCTGGCCTCACTCTCAGAGATCTGCCTTGAGTGCTAGGGTCAAAGGTGTGCATCACCACACTCAGCTCAACAATCTATTTTTTTTAATTTTATGGATTAGTTATTGCTTGTTTTTGTTGTTGTATCCCAGGTTTGAAGCTGGGTGGTGGTGGCACACGCCTTTGATCCCAGCACTCGGGAGGCAGAGGCAGGTGGATCTCTGTGAGTTCGAGGCCAGCCTGGGCTACCAAGTGAGGTCCAGGAAAGGCACAAAGCTACACAGAGAAACCCTGTCTTGAAAAATCAAATATATATATATATCTTTGAGGTTGGCCTCAAAATTGCTATATAGCGTAGGATGACCCTGAACTCATGATTCCCCCTGCCACTACCTTGTAAGTGCTGAGATTACAGGACTATGCCTTTATTATTTATTTTTCAACAGTTTTCTTGAAGGCTAATTTATTATATTTTATTATAATTTATTTAACTTTATTTTATGTGTGTTGGTATGAAGGCGTCAGATCCCCTGGAACTGGAGTTAGAGACGGTGTGAGCTGCCATACGGGTGATGGGAATTGAACCTGGGTCCTCTGGAAAAACAGCCAGTGCTCCTAACCGCTGAGCCATCTCTCCAGCCCGTTTTGTTTTGTTTGTTTTGTTTCCGGGACAGGGTTTCTCTGTGTAGTTTTGGTGCATGTCTGGATCTGGCTCTGTAGACCAGACTGGCCTTGAACTCACAGAGACCCACCTGGCTCTACCTCCCGAATGCTGGGATTAAAGGCGTGCGCTGCCACCACCCGGAGATCTAATTTATAATAAACTGCAAGTTTTTAAGTGTATACTCTGGTCTCCACAAATGTAAATACGCATTAAACTAACTCCACACTCTAAATAAGAAAATCCATCAAAAACATTGTGCTCTGTCTAAGCTATGGTCAGAATCACTCTTCCATGCTGTAGGAAGAAGGGACTGAAGAGGAAGCAATGGTGGACAGGAAGAATCTGTCAAGACCCGGGATGTGATGCCCGTAGCTTGGCCCTGAGAGGTAAACCATAGCTGTAATTAGTTGATTAACAAGTCATTAACACTTTCTTGCTGGTTATGTACTCCATTCTGAAGAGGACATTTTATTCCATTCATGGGGTAACACACACACACTCCTTTCTGTCAAGTACCTGTTGCCATCAATCTAATCATTCCAACCCTTTTAGGCCCCCGTTCCTTCTATTACCACTCCCAATCCACACCTTCTGTTTTCTCGATCATGTTTCCCCTCCACACTACCTTTCTTTCCCATTTCCATCACACTTTCAATGTCCAGGTGGTATCTCCCCTCTGGCTCCAATCTCCAATTGTACTCGGTGCTAATAACGCGTCAGAGTTTAAAAAATCGTGGTAAGAGCCCAGTGATGACAGTGCACCAGTCCTGGGGACCCCTGCGTCCGCCCCCAGTACGGGCCTGGGCCTATGCTACTGCAGGCACTCGCTGCCCAAGTATCTTCGCTGTCAGCGTCCCCTCCTCCTTCGGCATCTGCTCTGCATTAGTCTATCCCAGGCCTCCGCAGGCGCCGATGATTAAATCATCATCATTAACCAGGGCCTATTCCCCCCCACCCCCGGCAGCAGGGAGAGAGTGGGGGGTAAGATTGCCACGTTCCCGGAGGGTCTCTCCCTCCCCACCCCGCCCAAGGCACCCTCTCCGAGACTTCGCGAAGCCGGGAGAAACTCCCGCGGCGGAGCGGAGAAGAAGGCCCGCCACCCGGACGCAGATCCGCAGTGCGGACGCCGCAGCCGAGCAGGGTCGCGCTGCACGGTGAGGACCCGGGGTCTGGGGCGAGGTCGCGTCCCAGGACGCCCACTCTCCCGGGCAGCAGCGGGCGGCGATCGGCCGGCCTCGGAGGGCGCAGGCGATCCATCACAAGCTCCTGAAGTTGGTCCAGAGGTCCGGCGCGTGCCGTCGGAAGGACGCCCGTGGGGGGCGTGCGATCCCGGGACCCTGCTCCACGGCCCCCCACTCCCTAATGACCACGGGGAGGGGGGGGGCCAGCGGGCTCAGGTGAGCACACCGGGAGAGAGAGAGAGGGGGGTGAGGGCGGGGTGTGCCGGAAGACTAGCCAATCCGGAGAGTTTGAGGCCCTCGTTGCTATGAGACAAGTCCCGCCCCGCAGGCGGTACCGGAAGTGGCGGGCTGGGATCAGCCTTTAAGATGGCGTCTCCTCAGGGGGGCCAGATTGCGATCGCGATGAGGCTTCGGAACCAGCTCCAGTCAGTGTACAAGATGGACCCGCTACGGAACGAGGTGCAGGGGCGGCGGGTTGACTTCTGGGGTCCGGTAGCGGTGCGAACCCGAGCGGGCGAGAGGACGGGCGGTGGCGGGACGGGCGCCCAGTGCGCCTGCGCAGCCTGTGGGGGTGCGCGGTACGCACGCGCGATTCCGACCGGGTTGCCAAACGCTGGACCAGGACGCTTGCGCGTTGTGTCATTGCCGGCGTTTGGTCTCCCTGGGGAAAGGAGGGTCGGGCGAGCCCTGGAGAAGAGAGCACCCGCTGTGCGCGGAGCCCCCTGCTGGGCGGAGGGGGAGCTCCTCTCCCCCCACCCCTACCCCCACCCCCACCTCCTCGGGCCGAGTCCCAGTGACAGGAACCGCTCCGGAGCTGGGAAGTGCAGAGGTGACGTGGGCAGGGCGTGCGGGAGGCGAGTGAGGAGTGACCGAGGAGGGTGTGTCCACAGGAGGAGGTCCGAGTGAAGATCAAAGACCTGAACGAACACATCGTTTGCTGCCTGTGCGCCGGCTACTTCGTGGATGCCACCACCATCACAGAGTGTCTCCACACCTGTGAGTGTCCCGGCTCCCGCCCTGTCCTTCACCACGCCACCGCCTGCAAGCCTCTTTTGTGCGGTCTGCCCCACTCCGCACCCGCCCTGTGTGTCGGGTTCCCCAAAGGGGCTGAGCGGCCGCGTTTCTCCTCTTGCAGTCTGCAAAAGTTGTATCGTGAAGTACCTGCAGACCAGCAAGTACTGCCCCATGTGCAACATCAAGATCCACGAGACGCAGCCGCTGCTCAACCTCAAGCTGGATCGGGTCATGCAGGACATAGTGTATAAGCTCGTACCAGGCTTGCAAGACAGTGAGTGGCCACCTTGTGTTTGGGGGGGGCCTCCTGACGCCGGTGCTGGGTGGCAGCTGGACGCGAACAAACGGTTTTGTTGGGAACCATCTAGATAAAGAGGTCAACAGCCAGGACAAAGAGAATTAATATGGCCGCCCTTCGCCCCTCCCTAGGTGAAGAGAAACGGATTCGGGAATTCTATCAGTCCCGAGGCTTGGACAGAGTCTCCCAGCCCAGTGGGGAAGGTATGTCCTTGGTGGTCATTTGGGGAAAGGGGCGGGGGGTGTCAAGTAACGTCTTCAGGGCATTTCTTCTGCCCAGTTTTGCTCTCTGGGGAAGAGGGTTCGGAACCTGTCCCAGCCTCCTCGGTGTCTACTTTTTCTCAGAGCCGGCCCTGAGCAACCTTGGCCTCCCTTTCAGCAGCTTTGACCACTCCAAAGCCCACTACTACCGCTATGACGAGCAGCTGAGCCTCTGCCTGGAGCGGCTGAGGTGAGGGGCGGGTCAGAGGTTGCATGAAGTGATACTGCTGGTGACCCAGAGTCAGCTGAGGGGCGAGGGAGTGTCTGTCCCCTTGATGGAAATGGACTATGGATCTAGGTGGGAGAGAGGGAAAAACGGGATCCTCTAACTTGTTTCTGTTTCCATCCAGTTCTGGCAAAGACAAGAATAAAAATGTCCTTCAGGTGAGAGGGGCTGAGGTGGGGAGGCCTCTTTGAAAGAGAAGTCCCAGCAACCCTTTCCTCACACACCTGTCCTCTTCCCCCCTTCCCTGCTCCTAGAACAAATATGTCCGGTGCTCTGTTAGAGCTGAGGTTCGCCATCTCCGAAGGGTTCTGTGTCACCGCCTAATGCTAAATCCACAACATGTGAGTAGACCCACTGTGGTATTTCTGTGAGTAGACCCACTATGGTATTTCTGTGAGTAGACCCACTGTGGTATTTATGTGAGTAAGTAGACCCACTGTGGTATTTATGTGAGTAAGTAGACCCACTGTGGTATTTATGTGAGTAAGTAGACCCACTGTGGTATTTATGTGAGTAGACCCACTGTGGTATTTATGTGAGTAAGTAGACCCACTGTGGTATTTATGTGAGTAGACCCACTGTGTTATTTATGTGAGTAGACCCACTGTGTTATTTGGAGAACAAGATGTTGAAAGGGGAGGGACATGTCTGGCTTGGTGGCTTGTGCCTGGAAGGAAGCTGAGACAGGAAGATTACTTCAAGTTCAAGGTTAGCCCAAGCTATATAGTGAATTCCAGGCCAGTCTGGGGTCCAGAGTAAGACGTTGTCTTCAGAAATGGAAAAAAAAAAAAAGGCGGGAGACAGACTAGTGGGTAAAGTCCTTGCCTTGTAAGCACCAGGACCAGAGTTCAATCCCCAGACCTAAAACAAAACCAGCCTAGTGAGGTAGTGCCTGTAGTCCCGGCACCGGGGTCGGGGCTAGCCTGCCCTACTTGATGAGTCGGGCCAGTGAGAGAATCTGTCTCAGAAAAGAAAAAAGGTGGATGGAGCCTGAGGAAAAACCCCAGAGTTGTTCTCTGGCCTCCTCAGCCATAAACACACACAATGTACATGCGAGCATACATACATACTGCATAAACACACACAATGTACATGCGAGCATACATACATACTGCATAAACACACACAATGTACCTGCGAGCATATATACATACTGCATAAACACACACAATGTACTTGTGAGCATACATACATACTATATAAACACACACAATGTACATGTGAGCATACATACATACTGCATAAACACACACAATGTACATGCTACATAAACACACACAATGTACATACTGCATAAACACACACAATGTACATGCGAGCATACATACATACTGCACATACTGCATAAACACACACAATGTACATGCTACATAACACACACGGGACAGAGTCCGGGGAGTCTGCCTAGTCCTCCTGAGACAGCTCCCCCGCCCCTTCGCCCCCTTAGGTACAGCTCCTTTTTGACAATGAAGTTCTCCCTGACCACATGACAATGAAGCAGCTCTGGCTGTCCCGCTGGTTCGGCAAGGTAAGCCAGGTGCCAGGTGCCAGGTGCCAGGTGCGGTGGGCCGAGGGCCCTGCAGATGCCGCAGCCCACTCACGTTCTCTTCCCTTCTCTCCATAGCCGTCTCCTTTGCTTTTACAGTACAGTGTGAAAGAGAAGAGGAGGTAGGGGCCAGTCCTGCTTCCACCCCTCCCCACCCCTCCCCAGATATTTATGTGAAATTAACTGTGTCTTTATTTTTTGAAATAAAAGCTTTTAAAAAGCATTTTTCACCTTCCTTAACCACTCACTGCACACTCAAGCTTTGGCCTGTTTCCTGGTTCCTCAGCAGTCTCCCGGCTCCTCCATCTACCAAATGTCTTCAGTGATTTGCCCAAGGAGAAGGGTAGAGGCCCTCAGTGAACTGAAACCTGGCCTTTTTGGTGAGGGAAGGCTGTCTAGATGGCAGCTCTTGCCGTCCTCGTGGGCTGCAGTATATGGTCCCAGCCTCAGTGGAAATGTCACCGATCACGTCAAGAGAGGAGGATGTGTGGCCACTACAGGGCTGAAGAGGAGGAAGAGTAATATTTAAGGAAAAAAATCCAAATAATTGCATCTGGTTCTGCAGCCTGGGAAATGAGACAAGAAAAAGACCCCACAAATGGCTTCTAGTGGGCAGACCTGAGCCCAGGGCAGATGTCTACAGAGGCAGCTAGGATGGGGAGTCAGTGAAGCGGAGATGGGAAAGGGGAGTTGAGAGGGGGCCCAGGTACAAGACACCAAAGGAGCTTTAAGGGGGGGGAAGGAGCTTCATGGAAGAGGGGTGTGCCTGGTTCTATGGATAGCTATGTAGGAGAGTCAGAAAGTATCCCCCACTCAAAGGAAGTAAAAAAGCAAAACCAAGCAAGCAAGCATAGGTGGTCCCCTTTAGTCCCAGCACTCAGGAGGCAGAGGCAGGCACCTCGCCGAGTCTGAGCCCAGCCTGGTCTACAGGACAGCTAGGGCTGCTAAAGAAACCCTGTATTCACACCCAGGACATTCTGGAGGAAGCCTCAGGCTGCTGTCCAATCTGGGATGAGCCCCAATGAGCAGACTGTAAGTTTTGGGGGTTCCTGATTGTAAAGTCAAAAACCGTGATGACTTGAAGGCTGACTTCTGGAATTCAAGGAGGTCTCGGTATGTAGCTAAGGTTGGAAGGCTGGCAATGAATATAAGCCACATGAGCTAAGAAAGCCTAAGCTTGCATCTGGAACCTGTCCACTTTCGTTATATTGTCTGGAAACCTTACCAAGTCACTTGGGACACATAGAGAATATAGGGCCAAGGCAAAAGTATTGCAAAAGATGAGCTAGGCCAAGGTGACTCTTGTTTATAAATTCCAACATTGGGGAAGTTGAGGCAGGAGTATTACCAAGAGTTCTGTGCTAGCCTGGATGGAGTACAAAGTGAGCCGTCTCCAACAATAAAAAGTGCTTTTGTGTTTGAGGCAGACGACAGGGATCTGGGTGGGGAGGGGTGGACAACAGCCTCACCTCCTCCGGGGACCCCTCCCCCATGCAGAACAGCTGTTTCCAGAAGATGACCTCAACAGCAGCTCGGGTGGGTTAAATATCCAGATAGTGTTCTCCCACTACCTTCCGGATCTAAAGTCTGCAAGCTTGCGGCACCCTGGGTGTTCTCAAGGGTTTGTACGGCCCGCCCGTGAGTTTCTCATGGAGGGCTGGGCAGGAGCAAGGAGGAGGGCTGCTAAGCTAGCACTGTGGGAGGTAGACTGCAGTCTGCGTGTGTCCTGTCTCCCTCCCCACCCCCGACCCCCTCCCCGACCCGCCTTCTGCGAAGGTGCGCGCTCTTGCAGCAGCTCAGCAACAAAAAGAAATCAGAGGAACTGGGGTTGAATATGATCAAAATACAAAGTCGGTTTTTTGTTTTGGTTTGGTTTTTCCAGACAAGGTTTCTCTCTGTAGTTTTAAGTGCCTGTCCTGAATCTCGCTCTGTAGACCAGGCTGAACTCACAGAGATCCGCCTCCCTCTGCCTCCCGAGTGCTGGGATTAAAGGTGTGCGCCACTGGCAGCATATTTTTTTTAAATAAAATTTAAAACGTCAGAGAGCAGCTTGTATCCGTGAAATCGCGTGCCCCTCCCCTACTCGCCCCCTCGCTCTAAATGTTTTTGTTTTGTTTTAATTAAGTCCAGCCTGAAGACTAGGGGTTCCTAGCTCAGGAGTCCTGAGCACCCACGCCTGGAGATGCGGCCTTTGCTTTGCGGCTCAGGACAGCTGAAGGTGCTAAGATTTGAGTCTGGCTGGTTGATGGTCCGTGGTTGCAACACCCTTCATCCTGTCAGCGGAGTGCATCTCCAGTAGCTGCTGATGCGGCGCAGCTGCAGACTCCCTTTTTCCACCTTGACCCCGAGGTCATTCGCATCTTATATTGGGATATCACAACAATCCTTCTCCGGGAGGCGGGTGTGTGTGTGTGTGTTTGTGTGTGCGCGCGCGCGCGTGTGCAGAACCCAATGTAACTCAACTCCAGAACCCAATGGGTCTGGTTACCACTCAGATACACAACCTGGAAAAGAAAATTGCCCCAAGCTGAGTGCAAGCGGCTCTGAGGTTGAGGCAAGAGAATTTCTGTGAGTTCTAGGCCACCCTGGGCTATCTGAAAGACCTTGTTTTAACTCTAGCCCCCCAAAGAAAACAACCCAGAGACAGAGGGACCTCTCCCACACACCTTGCTTGGTTTTTCTTTCTTTTCCTTTTCCGTTTTGTGTGTGTGCTGGGTTAGTCCTCTACCAACTGACCTATATCCCCAGCCTCTGAAAATACTGTTGTTGAAACAGGGTCTCACTATGTAGCTCTGGCTAAGCGCTCCCCTCAAGCCCAGAACTCAGGTTTAATCTCTTCCTAGCCCTCATTAATCACTCACCCTCCTCCGGTCCCCCTCTGTGGATCTGGTTTCTTCCCAGCTCATGTTCCAGATGCTTAACCAGGAGAAGCCCCCCTCAATGGCCCCAGGATAGTCTGCACTAGTCCCTAGGCACTGAGATGTCCTTAGTCTCTGACGTTGAGACATCTTCCCTTTAACCTCTCCGCCTCTCTTTCTCCCCCAAACTTGTGTCTGAGGACCATCCCATCCGTTCCTGGAGCCCATCTGCTGGTGGGAGGCCGGTAGGCAGTCGAGGTGGACGGGGAGGAAGGCAAAGCCCCTCAGGAGAGCCCCACACTCCTCACACACACACAGGAGTAATTGAGAGCAGAGGTAAAAAGGACATAAAAGCCACATAATGGATATGTGAGGAGAGGCTGCAGTGTCTTCTGGGTGACGGGTCTGGGATGTGGTAGGGCGGTCCCTCCTGCCTCCTGGGATCTGCTTTAATTGCAGATTAAGTGAAACCACAAGGACTGTGCTGAGGCCCGAGGCCCGCAGCAGAGGCTCTGTACTGCCCTCCCCACCCCCTCCATTAATAACCAATTAACAAGGTTCTGAAGCAGCTCAGCTTTCCATCGGGCCGGCTCTGCTCTCTGACCCCGCAGTGGCTCACTGCATCCAGAGCATCCCCTGGGCTTCCAGGAGGATCTGGATGCCTGAAGTCTGGGGGTGCCATCAGAGGGAACCCTTTGTGGGAAAGACACCCTTCCGACTATCAAAGGAAGTGGCCTATTGTCAAGGAACTTTTGGCCCAGGTTCCCAGAATCTCCTAAGTCCTATTTGGGGCACCCCACCTCTAAGTTACACTTGCCCCAGGGAATAGACAAGTGGGCACTGAATAAATAATACGGAGCTGCAGAGGACTACAGGGAAGGTGGTATGGGGAACAGTCCAGGGGAGGGAGGGACTCTTCTGGTTTTTCACTTGACTGTCAACAAAACCAACCAAACAAACAGACAGAATACTAGTTTTGGCTCAGCACAGTGGCTCACTCCACAGAAGACTGAGCCAGGAGGATTGCTTTGAGTTTGAGCAGAGCCTGGGTTACATACTGAGACAAACCCTAGCTCAATCATAAATAAATTAATTAAAACTAAAAGCCATGTATGGTGGCATACACCTTTAGTCTCAGAGAAGTTTGAGACCAGCCTAGCCTATATAGTAAGCTCCAGGACAGCCAGGGCTACACAGTGAGATTCTAACTCAATGATGATAATAATAATAATAATAATAATAATAATAATAATAATAATAATAATAATACAACTTAAAAAGAACATAGGCATGCCCTTTGGGAATAGCTGGGTTTCTATGGCTATAAGCTGTGAAGCCTTCAGCTCTGTATGTGAGGCGGACACAGTAGAAAGAGAACCCAGGCCCGTCCAGCCTCACTGACCCAGCTTCGCTGTCTCAGAGCTGCCTTATTTCAACTCAAGATGACCATGGAGTGCTAACTCGGGTGAGAATAAATGTGGGGGAGAAGGAGATGGAGAATACCAAAGACAAGGAGCAGACCAGACCTCAGAGCTGGCGTCCGGGTTACCAGCGCTGCCTGCCTGGTGATCTGGCTGGGTCTGTGAGGTCTGCTCTTCAGTTAGTCTTCCCTGGAGAGTGACCCCACAGCGACACCACACCTGAAATATAAGAGCTTAATAAAATGACAGGCAGACCCACTGGTAAGCCAAGAAGAAGAGCAGGTTCTCTGTGGAGACCAGTCCTTGGGAGCAAGGGACCCCGGGAGGGCCAGCCCAGGTCTCTGGAAGCTCTGTGTGTGTGTGTGTGTGTGTGTGTGTGTGTGTTTTAACTTACTGGGACCTCCAGGCTCCAACATGGCAGACTCACCTGCTCCATTCCTTGTGGTATCTTTTTATGACAGTCTTCCACTAGGCCAGGCTCTCCCAAGTCTTGATCCCGGACCCCCCACACTGTACCAACCATTTCCAGCCTCCATGTTCTCTTTAAGACCGTTTCCTGGGGCTGGGTGGGGAAGATTAGGCCAAGTTAGGATACTGAGTTCCTAGCTAAGGCCCAGGATCCTAACATAATCAGCCTTGAATCCTGTTTCTAAGTACTCTGCAAATCCCCAGCCCTTGGGGCCAGGGAAAGCAATTTTATTGCCCAGGAGTTTATGAGCCAGAGCGTTTGCGGGGAGCCAAGCAGCCGGCAGAATCCAGTAAAGAAAGCCCAGTTTGAATGTGCACAGAGCTATACCTCAAAGCCAGAAGCCACCGGCTTCTCTCCAAGACACAGAAGAACTAAGGTTGCCAGGACACCTTCGGGCTCCAGACTCACCGAGGCCCTTGGAGGGAGGTGGGGGTGCAGAAGGAGGGGACATGGGGCTCCAACCCAGCTCTTGGGG